TGCCCCAATGTCCAGCTGATATCCACTGTAAACTCTGCCGTGCTTCGACATATGCTTATTGGCATATTCGTACAACCATGCAGTCATGTTAGCTCTAAACCGTGGCATCAATCGTCTTCTTGCCCATATCTTTTTCATTTCCATCGGAATGTTCAGAATCTTGCACATTGTCTCAAAAAAATCTAAATCTTTTAGACAATCCAATTTCCGCAACTGTTCTCTCGTTGGCGCTTCCTGTCTTTTGTTCCCTCTCACATGAGCTTCCAGCCACCTTATTGCCATCATAACTCCCACTCTCACTGTTGTTATGGCCGTGATGAGTCTGGTAAACCCATGGAGAGCAGCTCTCCGGAGTCCCAGATCAACATCAGATTAATACGCTCGGGATACCACCAGGTCTGCAGCAAGCAGTGGCAGGGAAACTCGTCATGTGTCAACATGATGCTCCTCCAATTACGCTTTCCCGAAGCTTCCAGTAATGGTTCCACTTCCATCATCACTCGGTGGACTTCATCATTCTCGTCTACTGCATTAAAATCTGTAACAGTTGATCTTCTCTGTTTCTGTCTCTCAAAGTCACTGAAGTTCCCATTCACGTATCCCATGAACTTCCTTCCCAGTATCAATTCCAACTCCTCCTTTGTTCTCTCTGGAACTGCTGAGAACTTTTTGCATAGTAACTCGTAAGATATTTCCGACATTCTCGTTAGTCTCACACACTTTGGCACTGAGAAGGCTTGATCCACGATCGTTCTCGTACTCTTTACATCCACAGCTACGAAATGCACTGGGTATCTGCTCTTGCACATTGGAGCTAATGTCGATACCACCAAATATCGAGCTCCTGATGGTCTACGATAAGTCTCACTGTATCGGATGTTCAATTCCGCCTCGATCGCTTCCCTCCGTTTTCCTATATGCTTTTGCTCGGTCTGCAAAACTCCTGGGAACACTTCTACACTGATGGCTGTGACCATCTCATGTCTCTGTTCTAGATTCAATAGTGACTCTAAAGAACCAAACATGCTGTAGAATCCTAGTGCAGTCACCAGATTCACCTCGGTTCCTCCATGGCAATCTGCGATCAGTTCCGTTTCCGTCGTTTCCGTACACATCCGAAAATTGAAATTAAATAAAAAGATGAACTTGTAATCATGGGCTCCCCTATAGGTTAATCTTGTTGCAAAGAACCGCTAAATTGAATAATAGTGAGCTGAAAAAATTGCGGAGCTTGTTATTTAAGCTGGAGTGCATATCAACTGCATGCTAATTATTATTTTTACCTCTTAAGAAGTTGCTCTAGCATGCCAAATTTTCTAATTTTTGGATACAAGTCCATGTTCATTTAAAAATTTCGCGAAAACACAATTTCGCAACTATTAGCATCGTCAGGATTTTTAAAAAAATGCAACATTCGCCCGGAAGTACATATCGACGGAAAATAGAGCCAAGCTATAAAACGACTGGCTAGCGTCTAAACAAAGCTCTACATGCTTTTAACCTTCTCTACCAAAGCCAGTTCTTTTGGTGGTCTTTCCAAAATTGGGTCGACAAAAACGTTACTGCTTTCGGCTTCGGTCAAAACACTCAAACTAACTTAATTACATGCAAAATTGGTGAGCTCCCCAGACCACGAGGTCACTCTTAAAATCAGGGCTACCACTATTTATTGAATTATTATTGTTTCTGTTCAGTAGATAAAAATCATCATCTCCATCGAAGATGGATCAACCCTTTTCCCCCAACTATTAGCTTCTCATCCTTGCAAAATGAATTCAGATGTTCATTAAATTCAATTCAGGACATAATAGGGAAGCTAAAAGTTTGTATAAAATAATATGAGTTCCAGTCCCGAGACCCCTCCGGATTCTTGAATCCGAGGAAATAAGACCCCTATTCTCCTTCCGGAAGGCTGAACTCTGCCCTTCACCGTTGTTTGCAACGGCCTTGCAACTCTTGTAGCGACACAATAGTTGCAACTCGGAATGATCTCTGCTACTTCTGCTTTTTTCTGATTCCGACTCTCAATTTTTTCGTTGTTGTTGTCGTCGCAACCAATGTCGTTGTGTTTTTATTCAAGTTTTTCTCCAAAATGGCCGTTTTTGACGTTTCTTAGAATTATTACGTCATCATTTCGAAATTTTAATATTTAGGATTTTCCGAATTCTTCAGCTTTCACGATTCATCTAATCATATTTATTCAAATCGTCTCGAATTGTATAATTACACCCATTGCGCGTATGGTGAACCTGGTTACCTTTTTACGGAAGCTCTGTCATAATGTCAGAAGACGGAACTCAGCAAGGTGATCCTGAAGCCCCAACCCTTTTTGCGGAAACAATTCATACACTAGTCAAACAGTTGGAGTCGAAAATTAACATTTGGTTTTTAGATGACCGAAATTTAGCCGACGACTATAAGATTGTACTCCGGGACCCTAAAAACATTCAGAAATTGGAGCAAATTTACGGCCTGAGCTTGAACACTGAGAAGTGCGAACTTTGTTTTTTGGGACCGACTACTATTACACAGTATAATTCAATTTTAACACAATTTCGAAAAGTTTGCCCCAGAATAAAAATTTAAAAAAAAAGAAGAACTCCTCATTTTAGGATCTCCAATCGGCGAATTTTGCCGAAAAGAATTGCTCGACGAAAAAAATAAGGATCTTGAAAAAATATCGGATGTCATTGACAAACTAGACGCCCATTATGGTTTTTACCTCCTGAAAAATTGCTTTAGCATGCCAAAACTTCTACATTTTTTGCGTACGAGCCCTTGTTTTTTTCAATATGATTTTTTGGAACGCTACGACAAATTACTTAGAAACTCGTTATGCAAGGTCACTAACGTGAAAATTGATGATAACCAGTTTTTACAAGCAGTTCTCCCGGCAGCCAAATGGGGCTTGGGCGTTTCTTCCGCTCGTCTACTCGCGTTTCTTCCGCTCGTCTGGAACCTATGATGATGCGCTTAAACGGTGGTTTGAACTTGGAAAAATCGAAATGGCTCCGCAAAATGAAATCCAAAACAAATTGGACGGAGCCAATTTTTGACAGCGAAATTGCAGACTTGATTTTACGACACGAACCAACGGACGTAAAAAGATTCATCAGGTTCCAAGATAGATTTGGCTGCCAATGGTTGAACGTCATCCCGTGCAAAATTTTAAGGTTTAAACTGTCGAACCAATAACTCAGAATTGCGATAGGACTTCGATTAGGCTCAAAAATATGCGAACGGCATAAATGCGTGTGCGGAAAAGACGTTACCGAGGATGGTTGGCATGGTCTTTCATGCCTCAAAAGTGCAGGGAGATTCTCTAGGCATTCAAACATGAATGCCCTTATGAAGCAGACTTTATCTACTACTCACATTCCGTCTGTTTTAGAACCACGACACCTCTACTGGACCGAGCAGAAGCGACCAGACGGTTTGACGCTCGTTCCATGGGCTGTTGGTGAGCAGCTCTTGTGGGATGTAACGGTAGTAGACTCCTTAGCTCCTTGTAGGATTAATGCTGGGTCTGTTTGTAACCCTGGTACGGCTGCCGCTGAAGCGGAAAAGCAAAAAAAGACAAGTATAAAAATTTTGTAGATGATGGATATCTTTTTCAACCGCTAGCTTTTGAAATTCAGGGCGCGGCCGGACCCAGCACAGAAATTTTCTTGAGCAAGCTTTGTAAGAACCTAAGCATATGCACTGAGGAACCCAGAGCAGGCAACTTTTTAAAACAGAGAATCTCCCTGGCAATACAGATTGCGAACGCCGCTTGCGTACTCGGAACAATAAATGACAAAATAACTTCGGACGAAATTTTTTATTTGTAACACTTGTATATTATAATTTCTCGTGTCGAGTTGCGTGTTCTTATTGAAGAAACGTAAACCGTATCGACTTTAATTGAAAAGGACTTAATCACATGTCATCTTCTTTTATCATTATCACTTCCATATCTAGAAAATTCCAAGGCTTTTGAAGGGACTCCTGACTTAAACCTCGGTTACTATGATACTTTTGACCTTCTGATTACCCTAAAAAAATTAATCCTTCAAAACCGCTAATTCGGAAGGTTCGTTGCTAAAAACTCGAAACTGCATTTTCGTCCATTCTGGTTGAATGTCACAAAAGTAGTCCAAATGACTAAACAAAAAAATAAAAATGAAGAAAACTCTCAGAAATTTGTGACAAAATGTTTTATAATGTTACATAATAGTTGTAACATAATTTCAGTGATATTTGTAAAGTTTTGATTGGTTGAATTTTTAAAATTTTGAAGTAATGATGTGTTTGACACTTTTTATGATCCTTGATCATTTTGTACAGATAGTTTATAATTTTTAAAACCTGAAGATGCACAAAATGTGCGAAAATGTTTGTTTGAATTCACAATTTTAACGCATTCTCTAAATAAAAAAATACTATAAGAAATTTAAAATGTTACTTCGAACGTTTTCGCACATTTTGTGCATCATCAGGATTAAAAGTTTTTTTACAATATTTACAAAACGATCAAAGATCTGAAAAATGAGAAACATGTCTAAAAAGGGCTCTAAAATTTTTTAACCAATCAAATTTAAACAACTGTAATTTCATAATAAATTACGTAATCATGAATAACATTTTCCTGTAAATTTCTGAGATTTTTTAGTTTGCAAACAACATACTTTGCAAACAACATGCTTTGCAAACAACATTGACAATATTTAAAATCAGTTTTTATTCCAAACCATCATATTTAAAAAATGGCCAGTCAAAACTGACCTCCAAAATTAATTGATCAGTTACATTGGATTTTTCTTAACGCCCAACTGTATTCAAAAGGTTTTTGTTTAATTTATTTGGAAATTTTCGACAATTAAAGCTTCCGTGTATCGAATGAAGGCGCCAAAAAATTCGTCTATCTTCTTTCCTGCCAGAATTGTTGGTAAGCAGACAGGCGTTTGTTAATAGTTTTCAGACGGTGATTTTCAATGCAGTTATTTAATTGTTTGTTTTTCAGAGTGTTGGTTCGTAACTTCATACAACTGCATCCAAAAAATGTACGCGCCAGAATAATTTTGCGCGAAATACAGAATGTGGAAGTGGAGGATCTAGGCATTCAAACGTTGCTCAAAGAAACCCCACTTGATGGATTTGAGTCCTTTTGTTTTAATGGGTCGAAAAGCCTACACAAGTATGTATTCTATATAGATTATATGAAAACTGTAAATTAAAGAAACGTTTTCGCACATATTAAGTGCATCTTCAGGTTTACAAAAGATAAAAATCATAATTGTCGAACACATCATTCCTAAAAATTGTTTATCAAATTTTTACAAAACTTTTGCGCTATACTATAGTAGTAGTAGTAGTTGGTGTTGTAGTAAAAGACTTAATTCCGTATGCATGGAGTCAAATTAAATAAAATTACTATGACAAATGAAACAAAAAGGTTTATGAGCGATAAAATTTACAGTGACAATTTCAAACGGTAGATTTTACGGCGGATAAGAGCTTTTGCAGTTCGAGTACATCTAACAAAAAAGTTACAATTTGAACTAAATTTTTCCGTCTTTGGAACGTCAAAGAGACCCTGGGAAGATGACCTAGTTTGCAGGGAACTGGTTGCTAGATAATGCTGCATATCCAAACGTGCGTTCAGAAGTTTCCACAGGAGCAGAAGATCGTTTTCCGCTAGTGGGTCTTAAGGGCTGAAACATAATCATGATCAGAACAAATCCATTTAAAGACACACACATGAAACTTCTAATTGCTTCAGAGAGGATGTCGAAGGCGACCATACAGGAGATCCATACAAAAGAGTAGAAACTATTAGTGAGTAGTGTAATAAGTTGATTCGTTGACTTGCCAAAGAAAATGGAGAATGTTTCGGCATAGAAACCTAAAAAATTTTGATGCATTTGGTAATCTTTCCTGTCAATATGATATTTCCAATCTAGATTGTGCTAGACCGGAAACCCAAGATCTTCGATAGTTTCGACAAACATCAGTTCTTCTGAGCCAATTTTTAGTCAGGTTCTGTTTGAGTAAAAAGTCGAAGAAAGCAATTGACTACCTACTGCCAAGTATTTAAAAATGTTATGCCTAAATGTCAGAAGTATTTTAGACATCAACAGAAGAATAGCTCTTTCAAATGCCATTTTACAAACAGACTACGATATACTATGTCTCACAGAGACATGGCTGGTAAAGGAAATACCAGATAAAGCTCTGCATTTGGCTGGTTTTAATATAATTCGCAAAGATAGAAAAAACTCCACTTTAAAAACCAATCACGGAGGCGTACTCATGGCGATAAAAGAAAATGTGCATTACGAAGAAATTAATGCTCAAATAGAAAATGAAGAATGCATAGTGGGCAAACTAACAGGTGAAACTGGGCATCATCAAATACTCTGCTGTGTTTATAATCCCCCGAAAAACAGTAAATACCAATGGAAACAACAAAACTTCATCAGTTTGTTCGAAAACCTAACAAAATTACAAATACAACACAACTGTAACGCAGTGTCGATTACGGGAGATATAAATTTTGAATACACTCATTGGAAAATGATGCACTCAAAGGACAAATATGAAAATGCAGTGTTAAAAAAGCTCATTGAACTTGACTATGAACAATTATTCGACTCCAAAAAAAAGCAGCTTGATGTTTTATTAACAAGCAACCCTGGAGTAATACTCAACTGGCACACGGACCATTCAGCAACAAACGCATACAGCATCGACAAAGTTTCTTGCTCAGATCATTATGCTTACTCTGCAACAATTAACATGGAAGCCAGTATCAAAGAAATAAACAAAGATGAAAGTCTGGCGTTTAACAGAGACGATTGGAAGATAATAAATCAAGAAATAAAAGACAAACCTTTCATACCGTATTGTTACAGTAATGTAAATGAGCTCCTTCGTCAGTGGTATGCATGGTTATGGGACAAAATAAAGAACAATGTACCCAAGGTTACATCACACAGATCAACTCTCCCCCCATGGGTGAAGCCAAGTACGTCTCACATGCTAAAAAGAGTACAAACCTTAAAACGGCGTATCGATCGGCAAAACAAACCTGATTTAAGCATTATCCTAAAACACAAAAAACTGGAAAAAAATCTTCAAATAGCATTGACTGAAGATCAAGCAATTTACGAAGAAACAGTAACAAGCAGTAGACGATTCAGTGACCTGCAAAAATACTTGAACAAAATAAGTAGTTCCAGGAAATATCCCCAAAAAATGTTCTACAAGGAAAAATCCACAAGAGATGACACCCAAAAAGCTACATTTTTTAACGAATTTTTCATCAGTGTATATCAAAAGGAATCAATTCCTAACCCTCTCGCACGAAATACAAACTGTTCTCCTACAGAAGAAATCTGTACACAAATACACATTGAAGAAACCAAAATCCAATACATTCTCAAAAATCTTTTAACAAATAAAGCGTCAGGTTTTGATGGTATAGGTAATATAATCCTAAAAAATCTTTCTGAAACTCTGTCAAAATCGCTCTATCTTCTCTTCCGCACATTCATTAACAAGCGGCTCTTCCCGACCTACTGGAAAACAAGTCAAGTGGCCCCAATTTTTAAAGAAAAGAACAAGGCGTCAGTCGAGTGCTACCGCCCAATTAGCCTCTTATGCTCCGCCTCGAAGGTCTTCGAAAAAATTATCTTTGATAATATATACCCCAAAGTTCAACCTTTCCTGGAAAACGCACAATACGGCTTCCGGCAAAAAAGGTCAGCAGTACTACAAATGGTACAATTTTTGAGCAAAGTATATGAACTCTACGATGACAAAAATGTTCAAACACTATCAGTCCTTTATCTAGATTTTTCTAAAGCCTTTGATAAAGTTCCTCATAGTATCCTAGTCGCCAAACTACGGAACATAGGTCTAAGCATTCAAATACAAGACATAATACAAGACTATCTAACAGATAGAATGCAGTTTGTGAAAATCAATAAAAGTTCATCAACTCTGAATGAAGTAACTAGCGGTGTACCACAGGGCTCAATTCTTGGCCCTCTACTTTTTATCATATTCATTAACGACTTTCCCAAATGCATTGAGAATTCAGATTGTTTTGGCTATTGTGACGATATGAAGATCTTGTCTACTGAAGAAATTCATCTGCAAAAAGACACGGCAAATGTTGAAAAATGGTGCAAAGAAAATAAAATGCCGCTGAATGAAGATAAATGTAATTTGTTAAACCTCAAAGGGAAAATGGAAGTTACACTATTTAATACAAATGTTGATACCGCAAAGACCCAAAAAGACTTAGGTATTTTAATGTGTGACAACCTTTCGTGGTCAGTAAATGCTGAAAATCGCATATCAAAAGCAATGGGAGCTTTTTACAAAATCAAACGAAATATCTCGAAAAAAACATCATTAAAGTCAAAATTAAACTTATACTGCGGATACATCGTACCAATCATAAGCTATGCATCGCAAACATGGTATCCGAACAAAGCAGAATTAAGACAACTAGAAAGAGTACAAAAACGAGCGACATCTTGGATTACAAATAACTTCAAAATGAGTTATACTGAAAGACTGAAATTTTTAAAGCTCCTTCCACTCTCAATGTACTTTGAATTACACGACATATTGTACTTAGTTTCACTACTAAAAAATAAACATGACATTGATTTGAATACAATTATTCATAAAAACGAATCACGAACGAGACAAGCAACACGTGGTGAGATTGCTGTTCATGCAACAAGACTGAAAAAGTCAAATGAAAATTATTATATACGTTCTAATACGCTATACAACTACTTTAGCCAAATTGTGGACTTCGAAAATCAAGATTATGACAGCCTGAAAATATCTATAACAAACACGTTTTGGAAATTCTTCAACAGAAATTTTGCAGAAAACAACTTGTGTATGTGGAGAATTCTTTGCTGGTGTGGAAACTGCAACCCACCGGGAAAAATTATGAACTTATAAACGAGGGTTCAAAACCCATGGAGAAATCCTAAAGCCTACACTACTACTACTACTACTACTACTACTACTACTATATCGGGGCAGTTCAGCCCGGGGGGGGGGGGTGAGGACCTCCATGTATTAACATAGGTTATACAGTGTCCGGTCCTCACCCTATGTTTTAACATAGGCTATAGATTTGCCAATGTATTAAGATAGGGAATATGTTTTCCAATGTAATAGGATACCAGGTTTCGGATGGTAAGTTTTTTTTTCGGCGCCCGAATTTCCCATGTATAGAGTTCCCTATGTTTAAGAATTTCATTGTAGGTAATTAGGAACTCATTAAGGAATAGGATTCCTAATGTATTACGATGGTAAGGTTTCAGATTGTAAGATGGTAAAGTTTCAGATGGTAAGTTTCGAAAAATTTTTGGCACCGGAGTTTTTTGGAGCTTGATTTTGCCAATTTTCCAGATTGTAAATGTTTTCTTAATCAAAAACAACATACTGTTAATCCAAATGTAGCATTTAAAAAGAGTTTTTTCAAAAAAAATTAATTACAGAGAAAATAAATTAATTCACAGCATCGTGTACAATTTTACTACATAATCTCTTACAAATTTAGAGGTTTAGTGTGTATGCCATCACATTCAACTTCCCGTTTAGGGTAAAAATAGCTCAGTCCTTTTTTAGTTTGTTCATAAGTTGCGACTGCATGGTTAATCGTTTTAAATCCTCTATTCGTTGACTTCTAATTCACTGCCTCATCCAGTACTTGTCGATACTTAGCCATCGGTCCATCTTCTAGAGTCTTCTAATGCACGTTTGTTCAGACCTTTACTGCTAAACTTATAATTTTGACTTTTACTATCGTAACAGCAATAGGTTTTACTATACAGGCATAACATTTCGGTGCATGTGAACTCCTCCTTGAACAATCCTGGTTCTCTCTTGTCATGTTTCTTATGTTTAGAACAGCAAGTACGGGTGAGGACCGGACACTGTATAGCCTATGTTAATACATGGAGGTCCTCACCCCCCCCCCCCCCTCCCCGGGGCTGAACTGCCCCGATATATATTACTCAAACAGAACCTGACTAAAATTTGGCTTAGAAGAACTGATGTTTGTCGAAACTATCGAAGATCTTGGGTTTACGGTCTAGCACAATCTAGATTGGAAATATCATATTGACAGGAAAGATTACCAAATGCATCAAAATTTTTTAG